AAGGATTGAGAAATACATTAAGACTGCTGACATTTCTGTGAATAATGGGCTGAGGCTTAAAAAGGTGAAGGTAGTTGAGACCTAAAGCTACATCTTGAGCAATACTGAGAATCTGCTGCTTCCTTAATGAGGTCTTTGGAAGCTCTTTTCGGAGGTTAGTGCTCATCAGCTCAGTCACAATGAGAGGACTACCCACCTTGGTTGCACCAAAAAACTGGACCAGGTTAGGATGACGTATTCGTGATACTATACTCATTTCCCTGGTGAAGAGAGCTACATTTTCATCTGATATGACATCATCGTAAAGTGACTTGACAGCTACTCTTAAGCCTCTAAAGATACCAACTGTAACAACAGAAAATGATCGCCTTCTGAACTCCTCCTTTGTCAAATTCACTTCATCTTTATCTATCTATCTATGCTACAAAATAAAACATGTGCATATTTTTACTTGCACAGAATTATTTAATATTGTCTTAGTCAGCTAGCAATAAGTATTTTAATTGAGTAGATATCATCATTAGAGTAGCTAGTCTCTATTTTCTTGCTTAATTTCATCATCTTCATTACTGCTGGCAACTGCATATCAGTTGAAAAAATTTGAAAAGAACACAAATTTCAGTGAAAGAAGATGCACATACACTGTAACTTTACCTGTAGCAATATTTTCATAAGCATCAAAATTTCTTCTACGGCTGGAGTCTCCTGTAGGTCATCAATTACTTGTTCCTATAAACTATCATTCAAATCCACTCTTTCATAAATTCCTCCACTATTCCTATATTAAATTAACATTTTTCTACATGCATGATTGATTTTACTGTGGTTCAGGAACATTCAAAATAGTATGTATGAAAGTGGTCGATGATAATCTGAAGGACCTGGAAACTTTCTCCGACTGCCTGAACCTTAAAGTGATCAATGATAATGTTAACACATGCTGTATATTGGATTCAGGGAACAAAGTAAGCCCTGGCAGTGGCATTTTGTGTGTGTGGCTCTAATTTTTGGAACAGGTTCAGAGAAGTTGTGTGGTGTGTGAAACTGATAGGTGCTCAACAAGTGTACTACAAAATTTCAACTATTGAAAGAAAAAGCAAAAAATAATGTAGAATTTATCTAACTAAAATAGAGTTATCTAGTTACATCTACAATAAAGTGGTACAAAAATTAAGTAAAAAAGAAAAAAATGATAGCAACAATTAGTGTTCTTGCAATCAGTAAACTTGCCAATTATCATTGTTTTCATCACAAATTAATGACTCCCTTTTTCTAAGTACAAATGAGCTATCTTCCTTGTACAGTTCTAATGATGATGTATCTTTAATGTCAATATGCCTGTTATCATCCACCAGCTTAATATGAAGCATTGGAATGTTTGGAGGGAATTGATTCTTCCTGAGCTTAAACTTTTTCTGCAAGTAATCCTTCACTTTCTTTAACAATTTTGTTTGCCTCAAATGACATAAAATTATCAAAATGAAAGCTACAAAAGCAAGAGACAAAGAGATTGAACTAAGTATGTATGCCGAAGAACTTAAAGATGAAGTAGCCAAAAACAAAAGATTAAAGAGGAAAAAACATTCTAAAAAGTTATTGATCTTGCTTCGATAAATTCCATTAAATATTCCTATTATGCTTGAAAGAAATCCTGACACAATGATCAGAACCATAATAGAACTTATTTTTGGTTCAACCAATACAAAAACCAATAAACATCTTGTTAACAGAAGAAATCCAGTCCATGATCTATATTTATCATTATACGGACCATTGTAAGCATCAAAGAGAGGCTTAAGTTTCACCCAACATTGACAGCATTTATATTTCGAAATGTAGCGCTCAACAAGAGGACTAAGAAAAATTAGCAATGTGTAGGGTAAAACAAGAAGAAAGACTGTTGCAAATGCTGGAATAAAAAGAAACAAATGTTTTTGATCATAGTACTTAATTCTAGCATCCAGAGACCATGCAACAATTTCTTTGTCTCCAGGTTCACATGTGTAAGTGACTGGAATTACTGCATTGCTGCATAAACGAAGTATTTTTGTGAAAGAGAGAAGTAGAACTGTTGCCAGAACTGATATAGCGTGCCTTCCAATAAGCCTGGATACTTTGAATGAATAATGAGAAAGAATAATGACAAGAATGATAAGTAGCCACAAGTAAGCTGGGAATAAAAACTGAAGGAGCATTTTATGCAAAGTTGTCATGCCATCATAAAAGCATGTTTCTATTCCCCAGTCTAGGTTAAGCCATGAAATGAACACTTGAAAAAAAGTTGGTTGAGAAGAAATCAGAAGGAGCTCTTTCATTTTCACTACATTAGCATAAAATATCAATCCATTGATGGAACCTACTGACACAGTAAGATTCAAAGCTGTTATGAAGGCAATCAAAACTATACCAGCTACACCAAAAAGAATTAGCAGAGCTAACCATTTATCAGAGCACTCACCACAAATATCTGATCCCAGCATCATGCTGAGTCCTTCATCACAGCCACCACAAAGGAGACCGGATCTATTTAAGTCACATTGTTTCTCTGTGGTTGAAAGAGTAAAGTTGACAGGACTCGTTTTACAATGCTGTAATTTGCAGGGAAACTTT